ACACACACACACACACGCACCAAATGACTAAAAAACGAGTGACAAACACCTTCGATTCGTCATCATATACCACTTGTCCAACCACCAAGTAACAAAAAGATGACGTGAACACACACACACACACACACACACACACACACAACACACACACACACACACACACATACAGACGCGCGCGCGTGCACGGGCGATGACGCCAAGAAGACGACCATGGTGATGCTTAGGAGGTCGACAATCGAGGAGGAGGAGGAGAGGGAGGGGTGACGAGGAGAAAGTTGGAGGAGGGAGAACGAGGGAAGACGAGGGAAGAGGAGTAAGGACGACAAGGACTACGACGATGGACGAGGATGGAGGATGGAGGATGGAGGCTGGAGGAGAAGAGAGGAGAGAGACAGGCATGGATGGAGGAGGAGGGAGGAGGGTGATGAGCATGGGTGGAGGAGGAGGGAGCAGCGATCTATGGTGCAGCGAACTTGAAGACTGACTGCTGCACCATTTTTCCGTGGCGGCGCATGAAATACCTACCATTTTCGCGTTTGAATTCCTGCCGCCACTGCTGCAAGGGCATCACAAAAAGATGTGTGCCCCTCGTGAGGGCATTTCAAGGACGGACCGATGAAACGCCACCAGCTGTCCAGTAAGGGCATATCCGAAAGTTACGCCCCATGCTGACAGGGGTCTGCAGAAAATTTCAGAGGCCCGAGGGGCATAACAGGGTAAGTCGGCCTTCACAGGGGCACGCCACAAATAAACACAAACTTCAGGGGCATTTCGAAATTTTTCCCTTTTTTTTTAGGGATTGATGTGTTCTTTTCTTTTTTTTAATTTTAATTCAGTGAAAGGTAGTGTGTCGTTTTTCTAATCATGGTGGGATTCTGACGACCTGCCCAACCGCATACGAGCTGGACTCGCCGCGTGATATTGAGCTTGGGTGTCAGAGTTCAGACAGTTGAAGGGGGGAGGGGGGGAGGCGAGGTTTCATCCGGAGGTCTGGATCGAGTGGGCGACTACGGGGAATGCGGCTGCATGTATGCAGCGAAAGTGGCCTGGTCAGGACTAAACCCGGCCAGGGTTGGATGGGGGTGGGAGGGTGCGGAGGGGGGCGTCTGGGTGTGGGGTGACTGTGGGGTATTATGCAGACTGAGGACAGAGGGGAGAGTCAGGCATTAACAGGCCTGGGTAGGTGAGTACATGGCGAGTGCTTCGGCTTGCGTGCGTGGGTGAGGGGGAAAGGGATGGTCGTGGTAGTTCTGTCAGTGTGATGGCGTATTATAGTACGTGAGAGAGAAAGAGGGGGCTTGCGGTAGCTGCGAATCTAGGGTGGCTAATCGTTGTTTTTCTCATCTTTTTTTGTTTTTTCTTTTTTTCTTGTTTTCCATTTTTGTGTTGGTTCACCTATGTACGATTCTAACGCTCTCATGTTCTTTGTTGGCGCTTTGTGTGCATTTCAAGGAAGTGGTGGATTTGAGAAAGCGAGATCGGCGTTGTCGTTGGATAGGTAGGTGACGTTTTGAGAGGTCTCGAGAGATTGGTGGGAGATTGATGGTTGAAGGAGGGTAGGGGGAGGAGGGCGGCTGAGACCATGAGGTTAGCGAAGGTAGGGTTGGAGAGAAGGGGGGGAGGAAGGATGGGAGGAGGGTGGAAGGGGAATGATGAGAAGAGGAGTGAGATATGGGCAAAAGAGTGGGGGATACGCATCAGGGGGAGGCTGGGGTTGAGATGCCAACTTAGCGGCCATTCTTGTGATGTTCCTGGGGATCTTCTTGGCGGAATCTCCTCGGCTCCAGGTCTGTTGGGCTAGTCGCTGGTGTGTACTGCAGACGTGTCACGATGGTATGACTCCCTTCGATGTCCTGGGGACTCCAAGTCGCTGGCAAGCTTTCTCGGGCCAGTTCTCTTCTTGTGAAGGCCACCCCTCGTGATGGCGCTCACAGGGCGCATCAGGCAGCAGGCCGGCTTCAAATCAGTGGACGGGTAGAGATGCTATGAAGATGCTGCGCTCTTCTTGGTGGTGACGCGCGCACCGGGCGTGCGCTTGAGCAGGGCATCTGCACCCCCTCGTGGCGATGGCAGGCGTTGCCGCCCTACTTCCGAAAGTTTTAAGTTGGGCGAGCGAGGCGCGTGGGCGGCTGGGCGGGAGGACGGTGAGGGGGGTGGGTTTCGGTTGGCGTCAGCGCGTAGGCCGTGGCCGGGCGCTGGCGCGAAATAGCGCAGCGCTGGTTTTCACGCGCTAACCGACAGCGCAGGCGCGAATAACAGTTATATCCACCAGGATTCAACATCATGATCTTTTCCTTTTTTTTTCACCATTTAACATGCACAGCATATGTATTATGTACCATTCAGCCACACTGCACAAACAACACAAATAATTTCAAACCCTGGTATACCAGATTCTCTGAACTTGGGGGATCAGGGGGGTTATGGTCTGAGGTTGTCAGGGGCTTAGGGGTCAGAATTTGCAGATGTCAGGGGGGTTGAGGATTTAGGGTTCAGAATGGCCATCTGTGCCAGACTATGGTCAGACTTTGCAGATGCCAGGGGTCCAGAATTTTGGGTTCAGGCTTCACGGCCATGACTGACTGCCCATCTGTCTCAGTCTTACATATTGGGCTTGGCACGTTGAGGGGTTTAGAGTACGCACATAACATGGGTTTAGGGTTTAGGGTTTAGGCCATCAGGGACATTTACGAAACCCAATAACCAAATACGACGCTAAATATGCCTAGCCCAATAAGTAAGTCTGACACAGATGTTCATTCATGGCCTATGACGAAGTTTTAGGGTTTGGGGTTTAGCCCCCTAAATGACCATTCATGTTCATTCATTGGGCTTGACATTTTGAGGGGTTCATCACTCGCGCATGGAATGGGTTTAGGGGGCTCCGGGTTAGGGCCATGAATGACCATGTGTATTAGATTTGCTTATCGCCCGTGGCATTGTGAGCGGTTTAGCATTTGCCCATAACAGGCATTTAGGGTTTAAGATTTAGGACCATGAGTTACCATGTGTGTCGGATTTCAAAAAATCTTCTCTTCAGAACTTGTCAAGCCAAAACCAAGATAGCTACAGCAGCCGATCGTTTTTTTCTACATTCTAACTTCCAACTTGAAACTTAAGAGCTTCTACTCAGGCCTTCGCATTGTGAGTGGCCAATTGTTGTTTTCTATGTTCTATGTTCTAGCTTAAAACTTAAAACTTAGAAGCTTCTGATCAGGCGTTGGCATTGTGAGCAGCCGATTGTTCTTTTCTACTTTCTAAGTTTTAACTTGAAACTTAAAAGCTTCTACTCAGGATTTGGCGAAGTGTGTGGTTTGGCGCTCAGCGCATGACCGGCAGGGTTTGAGGTTAAGCAGCATGACTTACCATGTGTTTTGGATTTAGTAATCTTCTCTTCAACAGTTGTTAAACCAAAACCAAGATTCCAAGATAGCTACAGCGGCCGATTGTTGTTTTCTACGTTCTAAGTTCTAGCTGGAAACTCAATTCATCTGGTTAGTCAGTAGAGGGCCAGCACGCCTCTACCGTCTTCACCCAAAAAGAACACCGGGTAATTATAGCTGTATTTGGGGCAACTTTCGGTTTAGATACAGTGATGATGACCGTGTGTTCTATTCAGATAACTCCAATCGGTAGGTCACCCAATATCATATTTCCAGTTACGACTTTGGTGAGTCTATTTGAGTGTACGAGTGAGGCTTCTGCCAAGGGCACGCCCGCCTGAGCATAAACAAAAAAAAAAAAAAAAAAAAAAAAAAAAAAAGGGAGTGGTAAAGCTTATTAGGCCAGCACAAATAGGGCTAGCAGACTTATTACTCGAACAAAAACTGGCCTACTAACCTGACTAAGGTACCAAAAATTGGCCTAGTAGGCTTATTAGGCCAGCAAATTTGGTCTAGTATACTTGAAGGACCAGTAAACATTGGCCTAGTACGCTAGTAGGCTTATTCGACTACCGAAAATTGGCTTAGTAAGCTTGTTGGGGCACACTCACACTAGGCCCTCAAAATCCCAAAATCCGAAAATGAGCGGCCAGATCTAGTCCTTCCTTTACAAGGACTCGACCTGGCCGCTCATTTTGTGATTTTGCGAGTTTGAGGGCCTACCGTCTTCACCCGAATAAAACGCCCAGCCATTTTTGCCATATCAAGCCAGAAAAAATTGGCCACTCAGGTCAGCCCTGGACCCGTAACAGTCGGCGTAACTGCAAACCTCAGGAGCCAGAACCGTCCAAGTCGAACAAAAGGAGGGAGCATCGAGATCTTCACAGAGGTCCTCACCCTTCCTGCAGCTCGTTCTTCGGCCACATATTTGTACATTCGGATTCCCACACGCACCTGTGTCAAAAGCAGCACACCCGGCCTTAGTGGGCCAAACTACACACAGATCACCTGTTATATGCATGAGTTTTCTTTCTCCTTTTCTGTTTTTCTTTTTTACTATTCACCAGACAAGGTGGCATGCTTATTTTGAAAAAAAAAGAAAAAAGGGCATGCTTATATCGCACACATACAGAAGGGAAATCCGTTAAAATTGCGACATTTAGCCATGATTTAGGACACTTTGGGACGTTTAGGACATTTGCGGACATTAGGGACATTTGGGACATTTGGAACATTTGGGACATCTGGGACACTAGGGGCATTTCCGACATCACCTTTCAGCAATTGACCAAGCACAGGCTACTGCTTTATTATTTTGTCATGTTTTTTAAAAATACTAATTATGCAATCAGACTCGCTTTCCTTCACACTTCACATGTATGCAAACAGGTGTGCAGCAAACTGGCGACAAGCGCCCACTCAAAACTCACAGATATGGTAGCCGAGAACACAGTTCAGATACAAGTTCACTTCAATGGCTATGGCGACACAGCGCCCACACAACTCTCTGTTCGCACACACAGGATCACCCTGGATATCCCACACACGATACTCTGTACACACACGCACACACACACACACTGCATGCTATCTACAGCTATGGCGGCTATGGCCGCTGCTATCCTATCGCTATGGCTAAACTCCTTCTCTCTTGCCCACTTCGTCCTCGGGTTCACTGCAGACCACCTCGCACAAGTCGCTTGTGGCAGCGCTTCCGCATGGCTCACGCAGGAATGAATGAATGGCTGGACGCTGCCCTTTGATTTATACTTCGGTAGCTCGTTGGTCCGGCCCTTTCCCTTGCCCCTGGTGCACACAGTCCCATGCGGTACTTGCTTGACTGGACTAGGACTGACTGGGACCGGTGCTGCCGACTGCATGGGTTTGCACTGCTAACTCTATGCAGTCGAACTGTCGGCCTACTGCAGTTGGTCTCACCACTTGCCCACTTGCCCACTTGCCCACTTGCCTCAGCCAAAACGTGAGCAACTTCGAAAGGCCACTACTAGGACCTTCCGGAAGTCGGGGTCCTGGCCTCTCGACGACCGTAGCAGCTACGACCTTGACCCTTCAGGACTGTAGCAGCTACGACTTCTAGACCTGACTAAGACTCCTACTCGACAGGTCTACAGATCGAACCCCTGCTACCTATGGACCCTACGACAGTCTACCAACTGTCACACATACACAGGTCACGGGTTCAACTCTAGGGGTCGACACAGATACTGTACACAGGTAAGGTGGGCAGGTAAGGTGGGCACTAGGGATCGAGCCCTGGGATCTGCATCGGCTACTGCGAACTGGTGAATACCATTTCACTCCCACCGGCCTAAATTCGAGGTCCTCCGAGAATAACTCAGTCCAAGGCAGGACCTTTACCTTTCTTATCTCTCTCGTAGGCTCTAACTATGTCGCGAGCTGTCTCTAGAAGTTCTGCTCTAGTGAACCAGCGGTCGTTCTCCGGTTCCTGATAAGCAAACCGGACCTTATACTGCTTCTGCGGACGGCCTCTACCTCCTGTTCTGAACACATCTTCACCTACAATGCCGTCAATGTCGTATCTCCCGTCCATGTCTGGGGTGATCATGGACCTCCTAGACGGAAACTGTTGACTCGTGACACACGGCAGCAATTTTGATGCATGAAATACAGGGTAGGTATGGAGGTGTGCTGCGATCTCTATGGTGTAGGACGGTCCATCCTCTCCTCCCTTAATTTCTAGACCTGGCCACGGTCCTTTATACGCGGGCAGTAACTTCTGCGAGATGTTTTCCTCAGGAGCGAACTCTTTGGACTTGACCCAGACTAGGTTGCCTACCTGAAACTGCGACGGGCGACGGTGCTTATTAGCTTGTTCTATCATTCGGTGCTGGGCCTTCCTGAGGTTCTCAACAACAGTGGCTATCTCTTTCTCGTGCTGTATCGCGAACTCCCTGGTACCGGGCGGTAGCCTGTGAATCTGTTACATGCCCAGTCGGGCGATGTATACAATAACCGAGGATCCGCAATGTGATAAAAAGGACTGAATGGCAATGCAGTGCAAGTAGAATCTCAACAAGCAATGTGCATTCTGATACATACAAAATGGTGCTGAATAGCGCAGGGAAGACTTAGATACAAAGCCTGATCTGACCGGGACTGACCTCATTCACGTAGTACAAGGTAGCGAAGCAGAATGCTAGGATGCTAATGACTAGCCAAATCAATGTTTAACGTAGACCAAACATACATCATACTCCTCACAAGGTGTGAAGGAGCCTGGCGCTATACACAGGAAGAAAGCGCCAGGTCCAGACATACACAGACGAAGAGGAGGGGATCAGACGAAGAGGAGGGGGAGAGATGGGAATGTCGTCAACACCAAGTCTTGGCACAAGTCCAAAATAATCCCTCATCGAAATGTCTGAAGCCCAAAAGTCGAGTCTGGATCCAATGTCACCAAGCTCTCTCTTTCTCTCGTAGTCTGCTGATGCAGTGAAGTCAGATAATGAGAGGGTGAGAGGGAGATGGTGGACTGAGAGGAGGAAGAAGAAGAACTCTCTCTCTGTGTCACGAGCCAGGTACTAACCTGTGAAGTTGGCGCTGTGCTGCAGGTACCTCAAAGACGAAGCTGGAGCAACGTTGCTGTAGGTAAGTACCTCTGGCCTCCGCCCAATCTCTCTCTCTCTCTCCAGTGCTATCCTAGCTATGGCGCCCAGCACTGAAGACTACAGCTACCTACTGGCGCCCAGCGCTGAAGACTAATGCTAACGCTACTACTACTCCTGCAGCGCTCCCTCCAGAGTGCTGCTGCCGAATCCTGAAGACTACCGCCTCCTGCCTGCCCGTGAAGTGCATGGGAAGTCCCTATGTACTATCTCGGCCTGCCTCCTGACTGCCTCCGACTGCCTGCAGTGGCAAGGCGGGCAGTCCAGGAGGCTGCTCTTGCCTATGCCGAACTGACCCAGGGTCTGGCGCTGCAGCTGTCGTGGGAACAGGCCAAAATAGCCTGTTCCTAAAACCCTGGTTCGGTGCTTGAGTTCCAGGGCAGGCCGGTCTGATGACAGACCAGAAATGGCCCTTCGTTTCAGGCTAAAAAGGCTGCTGCCATTTTTAGTCTGAAACGACACAGGGTCTGTAGGCCCCTGTTCTCCAGGCTTTCGAGCTGACTGGTCACGGGGCCTGTAGGCCCTGGTTTTCAGGCTTTCAGCCCTAGGGACGCAGGGCCTGGAAAATGGCCCTCGTGTGCAGGCGCAGCATGTAACAGAATCTGATCCCGGTTAAGTCCCTCAAACGGTCTACGTGGTCTGAAGGACTTGTGCAACTCGTTGGGAGTGCGACAGGTGGACAACACTCTGTTATTGTACGCACTGGCTACCTTGGGTAACATATCGTCCCAGTTAATCTGATCAGGTCTAATGTACATCCGCAGAACTTGTTGCAGGATCTTGTTCATCTACTCTGTCTGACCGTTAGTCTCTGGATGGCGGCCAGACGACATCAACAACTTGGATCCATAGACTCTCATCAGCTCCTGCCAGTTCTTGGCTAGTGAAGCGACTATCTCTATCGCTGACTATAGACAACAGGACTCCATGCTCACTAACCCAAAAGTCAAAAAACTTCTGAATCACTAACTCTGTACGGGCCTCTGCAGGCAAAGGAATAAAAACAGCATACTTGCTAAATCTATCCACTATAACCATGACTTGGCTCTTGTCGTGCCTACTCTTGACCTGCGTATCCATAAAGTCAATGGACACAGAATCTCCAGGCTGGTCAGGAATAGGCAAGGGTCTGAGAAGACCTAGAGGGGCACGAGTAGTGCTCTTGTTTCTCTGGCAGACTTTACAACTGCGAACATACTCTATGCAGTCGTTCTTCACTCCAGGCCATGTATACACATGCATCAGGTTGGCTTGAGTCTTTTGCCAACCGAAATGTCCCTCTGTGTCGTGGCATTCCCCTAGGATCAAACTGCGGATCTCCTCGCTGTTAGGAACGCACAGACGGTCTACTACATTGGTCTTCTCAAATAGCAACCCCTCTAGTGCGGTAATCTGGCTCGGTCTCTGGGGCCGCCTTAACTCTTTTGAGGAGGTCACTATAGATAGGGTCATGCGCATAAGCCTGTCTAACTTTCTCCTGCACGTCACTCCCTATGTCCAGATAGTGAACGATAGCTCCAAAGTAGTCTGATCTCCTACTCAGAGCATCCGCAACTACATTATACTTGCCCTTAACTGGCTTGAGCTCAAAGTCGTACTGGTCTATCTCAGCGGCCCACCTAGTCAACTTAGGTGTCATTTTGGCTTGTGTCTTCAGCCATCTAAGTGTCTCATGGTTTGAATACACCTTGAAGTGCCTCCCAAGCAGGTAATGCTTCCAGTGTTCTAAGGCCTGCCTGAGAGCGTAGAGTTCCCTCTCGTACGTGGAGGTAGCAACCTTCTCTGAGGGCATCCTCCCCGACATGAACTCTACGGGTTTGTAGCCATCATAGTCGTCCTGCTGTAACACGGCGCCTATACCATACTGACTCGCGTCCATGGTGACAACAAATGGCAAGGACGGATTTGCTACTTTGAGGACAGGGTACTCTATCAACGCGTGCTTCAATTTCTTTAGCGCAGACGTGCAATCTTTATCCCACTGCCAGATCGCCTCTTTCTTAAGCAACCTGCGGAGGGGAGCGGCGATAGTCGAGAAGTTTCTCACGAACTTCCTATAATAGTTAGCTAGGCCTAGGAACGACCGCAACTCAGTCAACGTGCGGGGCATCGACCAATCTCTAGTTGTCGCTATCTTACTGTCCTCAAGCTTAATGCCATCTCCGTCTAAGACGTGGCCCAAGTACAAGACTTGTGTCTTGCACCACTCGCACTTCTTTGCATTGATCTTGAAGTTAGCCTCTCTCAGCTTCTCCAAGACCTACCTCAAATGACCCTGGTGCTCTTGGAGGGTCCTACTGAACACTAAGATGTCGTCTAAGTACACTACGACAAATCTATCCAACCACAGCCTAAACAGATCATCCATACATCGCTGAAAAGTAGCTGGCGCGTTGGTCAGTCCAATGGGCATCACTATGAACTCATAATGCCCATATCTAGTCCGGAACGCAGTCTTGTACTGGTCATCAGGGTGGACCTCTATCTGATGATACCCGGACTTTAAGTCTATCTTTGAAAAATACTTGCAACCCTGCACCCGATCTAAGAGATCGTTTATCCTGGGCAGTGGTTCAACATTCTTAACCGTGATAGCATTCAGACCCCTATAGTTTATATACATATGCAGCTCTCCTTCCTTCTTAGGGACAAACAAAACAGGTGCTCCAAAAGGAGACGAATTGGGCCTAATCCAACCTTTCTCAAGGAGCTCATCCAACTGCTTGCGCAACTCCTCTAGCTCCCTAGGGGACATCCTGTAAACTGCTCCCTTAGGAGTTCTACTGCCAGGCTCTATCTTTATCCTGTGCTGGATCGGTCGCGGCACTACTCCTGTTGGCGGGTCTGTCAGGTCCTCAAACTCCTCCGGCAGCTTGGCAATGGTTGGATCCATGGGACTACCCCCTTCCTTAGGCTCAGTGTCAGGTCTAATATACACTACGAAGACCTGATCTTCTAATTGCTCCTTCCTCACTAGTCGCGCGAACGCGGGAGCACTGAGACAACAATGCGCCAGTGAGTTATCTACTCCTGACACATGAAATAGGCGGGCAGTCTTAACCTCGCCAGATGGACTAGGGAGCCTATACTCATGCTCTCTCAAGTGGAGTGTGGCCCCTGCTGCCTCTCCCCAGTCCATACCAGAGGTGGCAACTGGGATTTTTTTGAATACCTGTACCTTACCTACCCATACCCTCTTTGAAAACTAACCACTCATACCCACTGTATAGATGGCCTACCGGACCTTTACCCATCCTTGCCTGCTCAAAAAAAAAAAAAGTGTACCCGTACCTGCCCTACCTGAACCCCTTCAGACTGTGACTGCCCATAACTGCCCATCGACTTTCTGTTTCAAAACTACCCATGGCCACCTACACCCAAACCTTTTGTTAACCTCTTGTACCATACCCAACCAAATTTTTTTTTCACCCCTACCCACCCGTACCCACTCACAATTGTATGCACCCACCCATAACCATCCACACTTGTGACCCACCCTCCCCTAACCACCCCTAACTGTCCCCAACCACCCCTAGCTGCCCCTAAATG